CATCATTCAGTCTTGGTTCTCTCTGACTTTCTCCAGGACTTTGACTGCACTTCACCGGCCTGCCCTCTTTCCTAGCATCCTAGCATTTGCATCCCTGTGCATTTACGTGGCACCTGACATCTTGGTTGGGAAGGTTGACTCCCCACCTTGACTCTGGGCAGTGGTCCATTTCAGCTCCTGGCGTACCCCCTGCCTCACCCCTCCCTGTCCACTCAAACCTGCCCAGATGCTTAGGGGCTGGATTCCTGAGTTCTTTCCTGCTTAATGAAACCTCCAAGTTGTTTTCTCCCCTGGCATTTTCTCTTTTGCCCCTCTCAGGGGCTGAGACAGTGGCTGGGACCTGTGCTTCTTAAACATTCACTCAGCTTTAATCCCATCTCCTATGTTGCCACAGCATTCTGGCATGTTAGCCTCTCACCATCGCGGATCGTCTCGAATCCCCCCTAATCTCTGTTTCTGGATTCCTGCTCATCTGCTTTGACCTTCAGCACCTACTTGCCCTTCCATCTGAGCTCATCTCTCTGAACTTAACCTTCGTTCCTCCTTGCCCACGGTCCATCACAGTGCTGTTTCCTACCATGGCTCTGGGCCCTCTTGCTCGTCCCCGTCCTGCTCTTGTCTGCTCCCAATATGACAAGTGTGATTATCAAAAGGCCTATTTTCCAGAGATTTTATAAGACAACCTGCAATTTCCTATCTTTCAATGGGAGAAAGCCTGGTGGTTCAGGAGCTAAACAAACAAACAAAAAAAAATGTGAATTGTTCAGGGGGATGCACTTAATCCTCTTTGGTTCTGCTACAATCTGACATCATTAAGAAGAAAAGTAAATAATAGTAGAGGAGACATCAAAACAAAATGTAAACTAAATGTGAAAAGGAATGTTTTGCACTTAAGCAGCCCGTTGCTCTTTGTGTTAGCTTCTCATTGCTGATGTAACAAATTATACAAACGTAGTACTTTAGTACTATTGATTACCTTACAGTGGGGGAGATCGGAAGTCAGATATGGGTCTTTCTGGGCTAACATCAAAGTGTCGGCGAGCTGCATCCCTTCTGCAGGTTCCACGGGAGAACCCCTTCCCTCACCTTTCCCAGCTTCTGCGGGCCGCCTGCATTCCTTGGCTCATGGCTCCTTCTTCTACCTTCAAGCCATCAGTCCTGTCACTCTGACCTCTGCTTCTGTCACCACATCTTCTCTAACTCTGATCCTTTTGCCTTCCTCTTTCATGTCTAAGGTCCCTTATGATTACATTGGGTCCACCTGGATGACCCAGGATATCTCAACATCCTTAACTTAATCACATCTTCCAGGTCCCTTTTGCCATGTAAGGTGACATAGTCACAGGTTCCAGGGATTAGGATGCGGACATCTTTGGGCTGGGCCTTATCCCTTACCCTGCTTTTCGTGGCTAAGTTCATGGTTAATTTGGAGAGTTCTGCCAACACTAGAATATCCCTTTTAGTGCTAAGTGTGCCAATGCTTTCTCATGTATTCATCACAATAACTCCACTAAGTGAAGACTAGGATCAAATACATTGTATATATGAGGAAACTGAAGCCCAGAGAAATTAAATCACCTGCCCAAGTTTGCATAAATTGAACATCTGATTATCAGTCCCTATCCTGTCTTTCTCTAGCTATATCCCTGTCCTCTTATAAGTATCTACATAACAGTCGCCTCCTGGGAGCTCACCTGTGACCACTGGGGGAATAGCCACATCCAGGAGAAGATGTTTCAGATTTGGAATCAACTGCAGATGAGGAGTTTTATACCAGATTGGTTTATTTATTTATTTTGGATATATTATTTTTTTCTGTCTGGATTTTTTATATACTTTTTTATCCTTAACATTCAATATTTTTGTGAACAAGTGCCTCAATTATTGTGGTTTTCATAAATTTCACCAAGTAGATGGCAGGCCATTTCAATCTGAAGATTTAGGTCTTACTTTAGTACAGGAAAGTGACCTAATATATCTTGGGATATGGTTTCTGTTCCATCATTCAGCTCTCTTCCTAGGGATACCAATTACTTAGATGGTAGGTAGTTGTCTAGCCTCTGTTTTCTTCATCAATTCATCTCTCTCCAATTCCTTTTATCTTTGCAGTTTTGTTTTCTGGGTTATATTTTTCAAGCCTGTCTTCCAGGTCACTGATTTTTCTGCAATGTTGCTTCTGCTACTAATCAACTTTTAATGCCATTTAGAATTCTGCGGATGACATTGTGATAATTCTTCCCTTAGCTTATTTTCTTTCTTTGTACTTTCCCTTATCCACTCACCTGTTAGCTTGTGTTTCTTAGAGCCCGTGTGTTGACTTCCCTCTTGGTCTATCCTTTTTTAATCCCTCGCATTTCTTGGCTGATCAAAGCATTGGATGTCTGAGGAAAAGCGCTGTGTCTCATGAGCTGTCTGTTTGGTTGGGACATATGCATTTTTTCTTATTCCCCTCCACCTTCTACTCAACATCCCTACCTCCACTCCTATCTTTGCTTGCTTGCTCACTCATTCATTCATTCATTTTTGTCTTCAGCTAAGAAATTGGTGACAACTAGGTGGATTCTGGTCACAACCATTACCCACACTCTCCCACATTTGGGAATGGGGGTACTGGAGGAGGTGAGTGATGGGGGAGTAGTTACCGCCACATTAGAGTAACACACATGGTGTTTTCAGGACCAGCTCTAAAGCCAGATGCCCTGCCTTAAAAACCCGGCTCTGCCATTCTGAGCTGTGCAAGCTTGGGCAGGCCATTTCATTTCTCTGAGCGTTAGCTTCCTCATTTATACAATGCAGGTATAGTAATAAGTGTGCTCACCTTATGGAGTTTTGTGAGGGATTAATGAGAAGGCATGGAAGACACCTTAGCCCACAGTACTTAGTCGCTATTAGCTTCACAAAGAAGTAAGAGATAAGAGCATTTATGATGTTCTAGATAAATCAGGTTAAAAGACACCCACCCCTCCATCACTCATCATTCACTCAAGCATACCCCACAGTAGCCTTGCAGGGCCTTGCTCTCCAGCGGGGAAAGTGGGCTTCTTTGGTGATTCCATCTCTTCTGAGGCCTTGTCAATCATTCAGCCAATTCTTCCTGAAATCAGGGCACATTCCTGGCATTTGCCAGAATTTCCTCTATTTCCTGTTTGCACTATTTTGGGAAGGGGAACTGTGTTTGGAGTCTGGTCGGTTCTCATAGTTTGGTTCAAGTTTTACTGAGAGGCAGGTTGTTGGCAGTTTCAGCCCTAATGATGCCCCCACCTCCACCCCACTCCACCCCCTTCCACCCCCTTCCATTTCCTTGCATTGGTTTTTGTCTGGTTACGTTGCATAGTTTCTGGAATGGGAGGGAGGTATGACTGCCTCTCCCACTGCCATGGCTTTTTAAAAATATCGGCTATTTTAGTAGTTTCAAGTATAAAAGCAATACACGGTTTTTGGAGGTGGAAAGTCCAGAGAATGCCAAAAAAGTAAAGAGAAGAAGAAAACCATCACCTGCAACCTCCTTGTCCAGTCTGGAGAAAGTCCGCTGGGGGCCTTGGTTACCCCATGGTTCATGGCTTCCTGCTCAATGCCCTCCCCAGCTGTCCCAACCTCATTCTCTTGGTACAGCTGAGCACTTTGGCTCTACCTTCTCATGTCCCAGTCCTGACACATTAGTGATGGAGGCAATGAAAGATGACATGGGTGGGCATTGATCATGCCTGTGGTGGAACTGTTTACTTTGTGCAGGAAGCAATGAAGATTGCATCTCAGGAGACTCAGGACATGGGGAAACGCATACATCCCAAGGTTTCCCGAAATCCAAACAGACAGTTAAAACACTCAATTTGACGTTTGGAAAAAAATTAAATTAAAGCAGGTGGCTAGGGGAGAGTCGTAGTGAAAAGAATGCTTGGCTTGAAGTTGGAAGACCTGAGTGAGGGACTTACTTGTTCTACATGTTTATACTTAACCTCATTGACATGTAAATTTTTCTAAGAGCAGCAATAATACACGCCTCAGATAAGGCTGTGAAGATTAGAAAGGAGATCCAGGGGTTGGCACATAGTGGGTGCTTAGCAAGTATTTCTTCAAACTGCATCCTCATCTATGTGCCTTACAGTTATAACTTGCTGCTGTGAAAGGGTCTTACTCAAAATCGGAGAATCACCCCTACGATTCAGGATGGCAAAGACAAAAATGCTTGTGCATTCACCTTGGTTCTGGAAGTGTTCATCATGTCGTGAGATTCCTGGACACGGTGCTGAAGGTGAAAAGAGCAAAGTGCCACCCTCAGGGGGCTCACAGTCTACAGTGCGAAATGCTTATAGGCAAAAATGCGTGGGAATTTTGCACTGCACATAGAGAGTGAATCGCTTCCAGAAGGTGGTGTGACGGTTGGGGGAACTTCCCTGAGCTGGTGATGAGCTGAACTGGGTTTTTGAGGGAGAGGGAGACAGGGGACTCCAGGCAGAGGAAAGAGCATAGACGCAGGAGAGAAGGTGCTGAAAAGCCCCCATTCACACTCTACCCATGAGGACAGATTGGTCCCTGGTGGGGTGGGCCTCAGAGCCTGCGGTTGGGGTGCCTGGACACCAGCATGGGGCCAGAGGCCTGGCTGTCTGTGATCACATTATAGGCTGGGTTTACACTAATCTGCCTGAGTCTGTCCTTGGAAGAACCCTATGGGTTCTGCTTAAGAAATGAAGGAAACTGGGAGGAAGGTTAAGGGGCTGAGTGCTAACCGCCAAATGCAGGTTGAGCGAGGAACCAAGGTGTTTAGAAGCAACCTGCGCCCCGTCTTCTTACCCCCAGGCATCCACCCTCTTGAATCAGCTCACCAGCAAAGCTTATTCTTGAACCAGATCACTCCCAGAAACCGGCCGCCGAAACTCCTTATCATGAAAAGTCATGGGACTCAGGGGTGTGGGGGGTGGGTGGAGCTTCTGTGCTTGGGGTCCACCCAGGAGCATATGATGATATGATTTCTCCTCTCCCTCCCTTCCAATGTCCTGCAGCAATGGAACGGCAGGGACACGGCCCTCATGGTCACCCGCGTGGTCAACCACAGGCGCTTCTCGGCCACGGTCAGCGTGGCGGACACTGCCCAGCGGAGTGTGAGCAAGTACCGCTGCGTGATCCGGTCCGACGGTGGCTCCGGCGTGTCCAACTACGCTGAGCTGATCGTGAAAGGTGAGTGCCACCGCCGAGCCTCTCCCCGCCTGGTTGATTCTAAGGGGATTCCTTGGTGTCCTTGGAAAGGGTGAGAGGAGTTAAGGGGCCTTTTCTTCTCTGCTGCTCCTCCTCCTCTCTTTAGGAGAATGAGACACCATTTCCAAGCCCATTTTCCCACACACTGCAAAACCAGAGTTGTTATTGAAAATCATGCCATATTGCATTATAATTCAAAGTTGGGTCTCACGTGTAGGATTCATATGTGAAAGTCTGTGGGACATATAACAAAGAAGACCTCTCCAAATTGGGCTTTATTTTGTGTTTAGTTAAAATGAACCAGTGTTCGTGTGTTTCGGTGGCTTTCTGTTGCAGTGTACAATTGTTTCTGAGGGATTTTTTTTTTAATTGAAAACATGATATAATGACAATATTTTGGAAGGACTTTTGAAATAAATAACCCCACACCCCACTGGTCTTGATTCAGTTCTTTTTGATTTTTTGGTTTTTGTTCACCTTGATGTGTTTTGATACGCTTTCCATTAAAATATGTACATTGTTCCCTTTTGTGCTTCTTTTAAGGAGCTGGGTATCTCATTTACTCTTGAAAGTCTATGTAATCTTATAATGCTTAATGCTTGTGTACTATTTCATCAAGTGAATCATCCAGTTTTTAAAAAATCTCCCTACGTGTAGTCATTTAGGTAATTCCAGATGTTTTTGTTTTTGTTTTTATCTTTCCTTTGTGCGATCCACAATTAACACCTCAATGGAGTTCTTCCGAAGAGAACATTTTTATTCTATTGAACCAGATTATTCCCTTGGATAAATTCCCCAGGGATAGAGTTGGTAGGCCAACGAATATGAGCATCTTTATGGATTTTTTCTTTGTGTTGCAATATTGCTTTTGCAAAAAATTGATTTGACAGTTTACACTGGCAGCTGCAGCATGAGAATGTACTCATTTTCCAGTGTTCTGTTCACCGATTAAAATTTTAATATAGCATAATTTAGTGGATGAAATAATGACGCTGTTCCTCTTATGCTAACTGTAGAATGGTCCCTGGTGTGTTTGAAGGTGAACATATTGATCGACCCCGCAGAAGTCTCCTGAGTGGGTTTCCTTGGTCCAAGTATGGTTTGGTGTGTAACCCTTCACCTCTGTTTGCTGGCGCCTATGGAACTGGTCACCGGGCCTGAACCAGACTGGGGTTTGCAGTCTGGGATTCTCTCTCTTGGGCTGTCCTGATTCTTGATGGAGGTTCACATGGCTGACCATTTGTCATCATTCAGGTCTCAGCTTGAATGTCATCATGTCATCGTCTCGGACCCCCCGTTTTCTGGCCCCCTATTCTACTGAGGATGTTCTATTCACATTACCTTGTCTCTTTTTCTACCTAGCACTATCGCACTTGAAAACTATATTTCCCTTTACTTGTTGACTTGGTGATTTTTGATCTCTTCCTTTGGAATGTAAGCTCTGTGAAATGAGGGGCATCTTGTTTGATTCATGGCTCACAGGAAGTCCCTCAGGCTTAGCGGCGTGCCTGGTACAAGTGCTGAGCACGCCGAATCATATGAAAACGCCAGTGTGTGGCTGTTTTGACCTGTACAATCAGTTGTTTCATAAGGCTCAATCTTAAAATATTTGTCGAATGATGGATGAGTGAATGGATTGTTGGCCTCAGCAGGAAATCCTTTCATCACCATAATGCCATGAACACTTAGGCTGAAGATCAACAAATTAGGCAGTCATGAGCAAAACAACTAAGAGGAAAAAAAATCATCTTTAAAAATCATTTGCAACGTGTGCTCTTAATATATAAAAGAAACCATCATTTTGATCGCTTTGGGCTCCTTTTTTTTTTCTTTTTCTCTTGGATGCCCTAGGCTTGATTTGTGTGACAAGTGGCCTTTTTGCAGGCCTTTGAGGTACTCAATGAATATGTAATTTCCTGAGCTGTCCCCTCTGAAACACTCATGATACCGCCTGTAGGGTGGCCTCCCATGCTGGACTGGGAGCCCCAGGAGAGAATGGGCTGTGTGGTCTCATGCTCCCCACGGTCTTGCCAACACCTTGCAGGAGCCTGGCACGGAGTTGGTCATGAGAGAACAGGGCAGATGACTATGGGAGCTGGTGTAGCATTCTGAACTTTTCACATCGGACAGATGGAACCAGGGAATGCATGATTTTTTCTTTCCCTATGTCCCCACTTGTGGGGGAGGAGGTCTGGAAAGCCAAGAGCAGAGGCCTGTGGGACAGAGGATGTGAGTTCGTGATGAAGCATTGTTGTCTTTGTTTGCAGGGGTGACCAGGGTTCTTTGGGACATGATAGATCCTTTACTGGCTATGCAGCCAGGGCCAGAGTCCAGCCGCGAGGGAGCAGTGCACTGGCCAGGTTTGTGAGTGTGGTCCAGGCACCACCGCTGCTCTGAATCCCCTCACCGCAGCCCTTGCTGCTCTGTTTTAAGGAAGGGGCCAGGTGGCCTTCTTCACAGTCTTTTTCTCAGTAGGTGATGGCGGGTTGGTGCTCCCTGTAACCTGGTCCCTTTTTACTACCCCTTGATGAAATCATTTATGGGATATCACTTTTTTTAGTGCCCATGTCTTTCGCCTCTTGCATTTTATTTCCTTTTTACATTCGGTTGGGGGTACGCTAGAAGCTGGGCCCCTGGAAGATAGAAGCTCCGACACATGTGCAATCTCAGCTCGTCCTAACTCTGGCTCTGCAATTGAGTCATATTTTAACTCATTTTGCTGCAGGGAGAACAGCCACAACCAGGTGGCAAAACAGAGAACAGTCCTAAGGGGCAGAGCTGAGATCCGACCGGGGCTGGCTCACGCTGTTTATGCCACACCTGGGGGGCCGGAGCGTTGTGGCCTTGTTGGCACCTAGTATCAGGATGTCATGAGCGGTGTGGAAAGGGTCCAGATGGCAGGCAAGGTGATGGGAGTCCCTGGACCTGCCACTGACTTGCCCTTTTAACTCATGCTCCTCACCTCTCTAGAATAGAGTTGTAAATTCTAGGTTGCTGGAGAAATAAATTTAACCCTTACACACACGCACACACACACACACACACACACACACACACACACACACACACACCTAAAGAGCTAGTAGCACCCAACCCAAACAAGAAAATGAAAGTCAGGGGACACCCAGAAGCAGCAGCGACCGGAAGCTCGTTGCTCTGGAGTGTGTGACCAGAAGCCCATTTGAAAGTCACAAACCAGCACATTTTGGGGAAAGTGTCTTATGAAGAATGACTCACCTCTGGAGCCCCTTGCCCTGGCTGAGCCAGGATGCTTGAATACTTTCATATACTTTTTTTTTCATATACTTTCAGGAAAAGGAGAAAATCTGAGAAAGAAAAACCGAAAATGTTCTCAGGGGCTAAGTGCTCTCCTAGGGCAGAAGACTGCTCCCTGAATAGAATTTCCTCTTCCTGGTTTACACATCACACAGATGGGGTGGGCTGAGGGGCGGGGAGCTGATACTGGGGTGTCACAGAAAGAAAACCACCCGCAGAAGCCTTTTTTCCAGGTTTCCTCAATTGAGTTCCAGTTCAGAGATAGGAAATATCTCTGGAGCTGGGAAGCCCGGGTTTGCATCCTGGTCCTGTCTTGTCCCAGCTCTGCAACCTTGAACATCAGCCTCTCTGAGCTCCATTCAGCCTGCTCCTCTAGAAACGGGGCTGTAGGATCAGCTTTCTTAGAGGGGTGTGTGTCCTGAGGACTAAGTGAGACAGTGGATATGGGAGTTCTTAGAACAGAGCCTGCCCTATGAGTGTTTGTTCAATAGGATGAATAATTTGCCGATGTGGATAGGATTTCCCAGGTAAGGAAGTAAATGGTAGTGAAGGGGCGGATGGGAGGTTGGGGACCGGACACCTGACCCAGGTGCCGATTTAATTGCTATGCATGTGGACTTGACGAAATCATTCAAGGCCTCCTCTGCAAAGTGGGAACCAGTGCATATGCTGAGCATAAGGAAAGGGAGGGAGGACATAGAAAAGTGGGGGCCAACATGTGGGCTTGGGAACATTTGGGTCATGGGGTCCATCTGGTCCCCACTCTCCCTGGTATCATTCATTCAGAACTCAGGCCGTGCTGGGGTTGGGAAGTCACTGGGCCCCTCATTACAGGAGGGAGCCAGGACCTAGAGGCCCCTGTGATGGCGTTCATGGCAGGTGCTTCCACTGGGCCAAGCAGCGGAGGCCCAGGCTGGGCCTCTGTCTCTCCCTAAACAGGCATGTTTATGGCTGGCTTGGTCACGGCTAATGTGCTAGCCGAGGACTGTGAATGTTAGTGCTTCCGAAGATGCCACCTGATTTGAGGGTAGGTAATATCCAATTCTCGGGTGACACGCGGATCAAAATGAAAGCAAATTGGAGCTACTTAATTCTGAAGAGATGTTTATTGAGTTGTGATAATGTACCTGGGTATACATTAGATGACTCTGTAATTGAGGTTTCGCTCAATTGACGATCCGGCTCTTTGACCCACCTTTTCCAGACCAGTGCTCGTAAGTGCACTGCTTCTCTCCCGGTTTCTGGGTTTCCTACTGTCTTCAGTTTCAAGGCGTTTTAACTGATCCCAAGGATGTAGGTGTCTTCAACCCAAGTTATGCAGATGTGGTCCTGATGAAAATTTGCTAACACATACACACAAAACAATTGTCGTTGGTAGTGATTTTAAAATCTGTCTTCCAGCTCCATTTAACAACCTATGGTCAGCTCAGAACCCTCTTATCAATATGCAGATTAGTGCCTGGGAGAAGTATAATCCTGTGCTGGGAGTCGGATGTTCTGATTTAAGTAATGATAGGACTTCCTGTCAAGGTACCTTAGTAGGTTCAAGGGTAGGGGTTTTGGATGTAAACACACCAGAGTTTCAATCTTATTTGGGTCCCCAGGTGTTTGTTTGGCTTCAGACAAACGATGCATTTGCTCTGGACCTCAGTTTCCTCATCTGCTCAATGGGGGTGAACATATCTATTGGATCTTCAGAAAAGTCA